CATCATGCAGCATAACCAGTTCAAAGTGTTATGTAGAGACATTTATGAAGTTAATCAAAAACAGCTTGGGAAGATGTGACTAGTTAGGTCAAGAGCTTGGAAGTTATTTTGAGTCATTCCAGGTTTCTTTTATTGGTATCTATTCCTGCCCTATACAATTAAAAGGAGAAATCGCTACGCAACTGTCCCAAAACAACTGACCACACTTACAGACATAAAAACCGAGCCCAACAAAAAAGTGAAATGGAACCAACTGAAACCTGATGCGCATGTCCTTTCCTTTTTTTTTTTTCTTTTGCACTTACAATTTAAGTCTTCTTTTCAATAAAGGAACTGGTATGGCCTGGTTTACCAATCTTCTCTTCTGGTGAGAAGTGAGAGGATAAAGTTACAGTAGGAGACAGTCAAGTTCAGTATCTGATTAGAATTCCTATTAGTCGCCACCAGGGGAACTAAGCACAGAAGGAACTATTTCTAGCAATCTGAACTCATTTGGTTAAAATTCTGGCAAGCTTGATACTCACTGAATTCTTCCTTCAATACAAACTACTGTTAGGCATAACTAATAAAATAATTACATGGGGGGTGGGGGGTGTCCCTATTTGGTATACCCAACTGAAAGCTTCTGCATATGGAACAGATTTGAACAATTTTCACATGTGGTCAATTAACAGATTGTGAAGGCAGCTAAAGCAAGGCACAAGTATTGTACTAAATCCAAATATATCTTTTTTCCCCTCTTACCAAAGAGAAGTCCTGTAAAAAAACCCCAAAGAAATCAAGGTTTAAGGATAGAGCAGTGACAGCAATTTTAAGCAGGATCCTTCCTTTTCACAATTTGCTTTGCATGCCACCATTTGCCAAGTTCCTTCAAATCACTACCACAATTTGGATTTCTACTCTCCCCTTAACGCTTCTAATGACATCTGTTACCCAAAGATATTTTAGCATATCTATTCAACATTTACACGAACGTAGCTCCAGTATCAGCTTCTTAGTAGAACAACCTGCATCTTGAATCGTTTCTTCTCCTTCCCTCCCCTGAGCACAAACTACGTTCAACTATATTCAGATCACAGATAGAACTGGTAGTACGAAGCTGCTTTTCCTATTACAACATGCTTGTCCACAGGGAGACAGGAGCAACACGCTTCTTCCTAAAACAACAACTAAGATGTTCAAGTCTATCACCTACTACCAGGAATGTTGCTGCCTGAAGTGCAACCAAATGGAAGAAACTGTGGAGAACTGTGCAGTGCGGGAGGTAGCGGCCAAGAAGCGACAGAGAAGCGCTCTTTACACTCGCCACTTACCCGCGTTTCCTTCTCGCAAGATTTTGATGCTGAGGCAGTGTAACAGGTTGTTTCGAGTGTGGGTTACGGCTTTAGAGCATGTGACTTCCTATCGGTCAACACTGCCAGCAAATTCCAGCAAGGCAAAGATCCAAAGAGATTTTATCCACATACATGACGAATGGGACAAGTAACTTAGCTGTGAGAAGAACCTTTCCACACATTTCCACAGAAATATAAAGACAGGATGTAGGGGGGAGCCGGGGAGAGACTCTAAATAAATTCACCTGTCCAAAACATGGCTCTCAATTCTTTTTACTGTTTTTAATGAAGTACCTGATTTAAACCAACAGCTTTAGAACACAGAAGAACCTGGGTTGGAGGACACCTTTGCAGATGATCTGATCCCACCTGCTAGTCAAGGCCTTGCTTAAGTGATCCTCATTAGCAAGACACTCACAGGCAGGCACAACCACCAAACAACACAGACATTCTAAACAGCAGCTATCCAAGTACAAAGTCACTTCCTGCCTTAAAGGTTTCTCACACAAATATTGCATTTTGTACCAAGAACAAACCATTACTGAAAAAGATAAAGCATAAATAACAAGAACAGTTTCCAACTGTACCGTCAAGACTGTAATCCGTTCCTGCAAGTCAAGGAGAAACAGCTTATGACCCACAGAAGTCACATCACCAGCTTATACTTCTTGCTTATGACACAGGAGAACACAGATCCAGCAGCTGAATATTAGCTCCCTGCCCTGCACAGCAGTCTTACCAAGTCAACTGGAAGGGGAACGTAAGAGAAATCAAACACAGGATTTGCTTTTCTAGAAGACTCACCATAAACTCTTCTTCTAAGCACTTTGCCTCACATGACAAGGAAGAAAGGGCAGACAAGGCAGTATTAGGGGGAGAACCATTTCAAGGGATGACGAATCACCTTCCTGTTTTCTTTGAAAGCACTAGACAAGGATACAGCAGGAGTCCTTGGAAACCAGCCAGGCAGCCTCACTCCAGTTTCCACTCACCTTCGTGAAGCTGCAAACCCACCAGCTAGCAGGGCGTAAGGGACTGCCGTCGCTGCTGCTCAGTCGGACTGACACCATTCCGTCAGTTCCACCGAGCCAGGGGAAGAAGGTGGCAGCGCAAACAGCTTTTTGCCACGTAAACGGTTGCATAGTAGATCAGTAAGCCGCCTCAGTATCTCAGCCAGCAAGCTCAGAAAACCTTTCTTTTATCCAGCTGATTAAAAGGCGCGGCAAAAAAGAGTATTTTCCGCCTAAAATTTCCTGAAGTTCGTGTAATACTACCAGCCAAACAAGGCTATGGTACAAGTTCTAGCATTCTGATCTTCCTACTCGTCTTCACTGCACATCAGCAGAGATATTAGTGCCACGTCCTGAATCTAAGAAGGCTGATGAATTTTACCCTCTGCCGTTAGCACGTTCAGCTTGCTTTCCTTCAGGACGGTTTTTCTCCCCGAGCAATACTTCAGACAAGGCATGTTTTGCTGTGTTCAGTTCTCACTCATCCAGAGAACTCCTGAAACACGACTTCACCTCAAAACAATTGAGTCCCACACCCTGAAACAGCAACCAAAACCATCGGCTTTTCTTAAACTTTGGGCAAACTATGCCACCATCAGCTAGCTATTGACCGACACAAATGCACTGACCAGATGAAAAAAAAAATTACAAAACATAAGGTCGTACCTACTCTCCAGCAGGATGTGCATCCTGCTAAGAATTTCATAGCTACTTCAGAGTATCAAACAACAGCACAACTTCACAGCACCGGAGCAAGCAAGACTCCAGGTCTTGACGTACTTGCACGGCTCCATACTGCATTCTTGCTGCCTTGCCACCAGCTTCAACTAAACCTTTTAAACATCCTTGTGGGGGACAACCTCACAGCATTTAAGTGGGGCTCCTCTTGGTAACATTAACTCAGTATTTCTTCAGAGCGAACCTTAAAAATCCTACTGGCTTGGACCCAGTCAGGAACATAAGCTTCCAATATTCATCACTCGGAGTTGGGACTAGATGGGGCCCAGACTTCGTAACCGTGCCTTAATAAAAGGTATACTACAGCAGGGCTCCAACTCACTTGAAAAAAAAAAAACACAAAGATGATGTTGTTCTGAGAGATAGCGTATGACCAACTGCAACGAATCACTAGGAAATGCTGCAGCACATTAGCAGCCAATGCTGACTTCATACAAGCCAACTCTTTAAGAAGACAGGAAAACAGGTAAGAAGTAAAACAGACAACATTACCAAGAGAAACTACGAGAAAGAAAATAGGGAAAGGATTAACCTATTCAAGAGCCGGAACATGGGAAAGCTACTAATGCCCAAAATACTCTAATATAGCCCCAATTTTCATGCTCTGACCAAGAGACTCCAAAGTCTATCAATATTAAAAGCCTTGATCTGTTAAAAAGAAATTGCATTGCAGAAACCTCCCTGATCTCCGAACGTGCATTGCAGACATTACTCTTGCATTAAACGTTTGCTCTTCCTTCCATTATTGTTTCATCAAGCACCCGTGTATTCAATCAGGATAGTCTCCACTCTGTATAAAGCTTGCAGTCACCACATAAACTATGCTCCATCGTCCTCACTGTGGCTCGACTAGACAAGTGCAGGTATAAAACATGATCCTTTCATATTACCTCGCCTCTTACCGACACCAAAGTAGGAACTTAGAGGTTATTAAAATATACCCATGACTTTTGTACACAATTTAAAAGAACTTCTGCAGTTAGGAAATACTCCCAATATCAGTACAAGAAATAAAGGTTTGTTCGCAATGATTTTGAGTTTCAGTTCAAGGTAGGCCAAGGATATTCACCTTAAGCTATAAAGTTTTTTGTTTTTTTTAAATGTACTTACTAGGGACGTAAAGAAACTGCCACATGTGGGTTTGCATTATACTCCAGTCTGCTCCTCTTAAGTCAAGCACAAACAAACTTTCAAAGAACCTGAAGGTCAGAACACATCATTGCTTCTCTTGAAAAGTCTCAAATCAACACAGGCAATATAGATTTACCCCTCTACTGTCATAGGCTTCCTACATGCACTTTTGTGCTATCGGTCCAAGTTCAGCACACGACAACACAGACCACATCTTCATCTACTGTGAAAAAACATACCTCCTCTTCTCCCAGCCAAGAAAATGTTTCTGTTGACTAGCTGAAGTGTCAAAAACGCAACTATGGGTTCATGCCTCTCGTTGAAAACCGTACTAAGGTCTCGTGAAGCATAATTATTCCTTCACTAGCACATATGAGATAAAACCTGAAAGGTTATTCCAACAACAAAAAAAGCCTTGTCGTCCATAAGATCACACATCAACTAAGAAGGACAGCCAAGATAGACTTATCAGAAGAACCAAACAAGAAGAAGCTAACTGCAGATTAACCCCACAGTACTTACATTATATTCAACTGTACTCCCACACAGTGCTTTCAATACCAGATTCAAGTAACAATGTTCATCTTCAGCTGACGGTAGCAAACCCAGCTCAAATTCTGCATTAAGTACACCTTCTTTGAAGGTGGTGTAAGTGCACGGCAGCCAGTACGCCGCATGAAATCCTCTAGGCCAAGGACCTTTTCCACCCGCAGTTGCATGAAACCAGCTGAAGAGTTACTTTAGTTTTATCCTCTGACTGGAAAGAAATACTGGGAAAAATTATAACAAAGTCCTACAACTTCAGTAATAAAACAAGCAGAGACTGTGCTTTCACCTCATCTTGTTTCTTCCTCTCCTGAAGGAAACGGCCTTTACATTAGGGCAAGCTAGAACATGTGAACTAAAATCACTTGCTTGCTAACTACCTTTTTAGCTCAGGAGTGATTTTTGCCCCAGAAGTACCCACTCTCTTCTTGCAGTAAGGACCTCTAACAGAATCTGAACCTCCGTCTCTATGCTAACTCCACTTAACTAGCACACAACGGGAAATGCTTTTTTCCCCCTCCATTTTAAATTATAACCAACTTAGAGGTGAAAACATTCTCAAAGAGTTTATGAAGAGGCACGGACTGAGGCCTCCAAATCTAACTAAATACTAAGCAGTACCAAGTCTGCCCAATAAAGCGGAGACCAGGCGTATATTCTGCTGCCTAAGCAAGAGCAGTTCTCTCAATCTTCACGCTGCTGTATTTGAATGAACATTAGGAACTGCTCCACAGGAGGAAAAAAAAAGCCCTAAAATGGGAAAATATAACACCTTAAACACACTGTTCAAAGTCACAACAGAAATCAGTTTTCAGAGAACCAAGTTTTACTTCTGGACCCGTATTGGAAATGCAAGACAGTGACGCTACTTCTACTGATACACTAAGAAATTATCAACAGCCTTCACTGCTACCAGAGTATTTGAGAGATTCACAAACAACTGATTCAGTCATGGTTTACACACATCTAAAGCGAGACAAGCCATACTTGATTTCTGAGGATGTTTTACCTGGATTCAGTTAGTCTTATGACCAGGAAGAGAATGTCTGATGAAATCATCAAAAGTCACCACATCTTACTCTGAGAAGCAAGATACAGTTGCTTAGTTCACACATACGAACCCCCAGTACTGCTAAACTGACAAAATTAATTTGCTAGCCGCCTTTCCAAGCAAGGTTATCAATAAATACCAAGTATTTTATTCATTTGACATACTATGGAGTTGCACACAAGAGCTATAGTGGAAATAAAGGAAAAAAGAAAAAAAAAAAAGAAAAAAGAAAAAGCTTTCAGTATTCAATAAGACAAGCAACGCACTGAAATGTGTCTGATGGCAGAAAGCCCAGTTCACTTTTGGTCTTCCTACCTCACCACAGAAAGCAGCCACGCACACAGATACCGATAAAAACGTCTTGTTCGAACATCCGTACCAGTTTCTTAAGCACAAACTGAGCAGTTGTGTTAACATTCTGGATGTTATTAGGTTAAATAGTTCCAAGGTTTACAAGGAAGCTAACACCAATGCTAAGTATTTCGACCGATTTAGAATTTTAGAGCAACGTCACTATGGCCATTAAGCAAAAACCTACAGGACAAGCATCACTGAAAGCGGCGTTTCGGTTAGATTTTGACGGCAGCTAACAAAGTAGCAGCTTCTTCTTACAATGAAGAATACATGCAAATATTATGAAAAGTCATCTGGCAACGAAATCATGTTTTTGCTTGCAAAACCAGAAAAACCACAGGAACAACAACAACTAAAAGATATTTCCTTGAACTATTACAGCTAATATAATCTGGAAGAGACATCTGTGACACTTCCAACAGAAGTTTCACTTTACGATTCCTAGGCAGGCCTCTCTTCGTTCGGCTGAAACAGCATTTTCAAGTTTCACTCACAAGAAGGGAAAAAGTCATTTATTTCATAATGCCGGACCTCCTTCTGCAGGGGAAGTAAAAGCAAGCTATATTTTAGACGACTGGAAACACACTAATAGAAGTTATGCAGCCCTAACTCATACTCAGTGCAAAAAACAGGAACGCTGGCCAAACAAAACCAAACCAAAACAGGAGTTCTGACAGCCGGTGGCCCTGCAGAAGGGCTGACAGCGACAGCAACCTTGCTGCCCCGCACACACAGGGGCTCCAGGACACGATTGCCGATCACGCCTCGCTCGACGCCGCTCAGGAGGCCTCTCCGCGCCCCCAGCAGGACTCGGGCACCCGTGCGT